TAAAAGAATCCAACTTTGTAGTAAAGAGGTGTTTGATAATGATTATTTTTCCTTTATCAAGAATTTGAACTTAAAAAAATAATTTATCGTGTTTAATTTGTAAATTAAAAATTAAAATTCATATTTCTAAGTTAAATAAAAAAATAATACAATAAAAATGTAATTTTATTTTTATTTATCTATTTAATATAATAAAAATCATTGATTCTCAAATAATATATATAAATATCCTTAAAAATATATATGATCAACTAAACACATTTTAACCATTCTTAAAAATTATAATTTTACGAAATCACGATTCTTATGCATGAAAAAAAAAATTATTTACAAAACATCATTTAAAGGATTTATAATAACTCACGCATTATACTCAACTAATTGTCTAGTCTCCTCAATCTACTTAATCTATTTGGTCAACTTAGTATCTAATTTCATATAGTAGAACTAGGTAGCACTTAAGCTTATCAGCTTTGAACTTTAAAAGAGGTCAAGGAGTTATAGTTTATTGTCTTGATCAAGCCTAAAAGCTTAAGTTGTCAAGTTTGAAAACTTAAGTTGTTAAGCACAAAATATGAGTTATCAAACTTAAAATTAAGCTTAAATGGTGAATAAACTCAATTTTTGCCTAATTTTTGGGTGCATGACTTTATTTTGGTGGTGCATGATTTCTAGAGATTTTTTGTTTTGATTTTGCATTACCTCCATGTGTTGGAGGAGTTATTGCACCATTGGAAGTTTTTCATGACTATGGTGGTAAGGATGTTGGTGATGCTTGTTTAGTTTTGTGTGGATATCATTGTCATTGGTTACCAAATAATATATAGTTTATTTTGGCCCAACGATTGACAGTAAATATTTTTATAAAAATCTATAAATCCACTGATGTATTAGATGTAGTACTTCACTTTTATCAATATCAATTTACCAATTATATTAATTATAATAATATATGTATATAATGTTTTTTATTTAGTATTATTATATATGTTTAATTTTAATTCTCATTGAAAATATATATTATAACTTTTATTTATATAGTATAGAAACTCACTAGTTTTATTTTTAAGTGTTAAGGGTTTTGAGTTCTAATCTTATTTTTTATTTTTTTTGTTAAATTTTTTTATTATTCTCACATGCTACAGCATCATGTCAGGTTATCAATACATCGATGTCCATATAATTTATCATATTATTGGTCACATTAGTAATAATTATTAATTTTTTATAAAAAAATAAAATAAGATTGCACAATTATAAGTTTTAGGAATTAAAAATGCTCAATTAAAATTAATATTCTAAAATTACACAATGAGGATAAAGATAAAAAAATATACTTAAATTCAATAATAGTAACTTTTTTTATTGTGCAATAAATCATACACTACAAATATGTTTATTCAAGTTACTTCCTAACTCCAGATACGAGTATCATTCAATCAACTCAACTCAACTTATTCTCAATTTATTTAAAAAATAAGTTCCATTAAATTGAGTTTATTTTTCATTGGATTAAAAATTTCAACCTAATTTAACTTGTGATGGGTTAAATTAGGTTGATTCATTAACTTATTAAAATATTATAAATAATTATCATTTTAATTATCTCAAAATTTATAACCAAATATTATTTAAAAAATAAAAATTTTATAAGACCATTAATAAATGAAATATTCAATTAAACATATAATTAATAAATCATAAGTCCATGTGAAAATAAGTGCATAAAAAGTTATCAACAATAATAAAATAAGTATATAATAAATGAATTAATGATGTTATTTTCTAATTAGAACTTGAATTTCACCTTAATATGTATATATATAATGATTTTATCATTAATAAAATAAAAAAAATACTTTGTACCTTTATATAAAAAACAGAAGAAAAAAATATGACAGGTTTTGTTGTTTTAATATTTATGACAACTTTTTAAATATTTATTTAGGATAAAATAAGTTAAAAAATATATTATAAATAAGATAACCTCTTTTATTATCGATATACTTGAATGCATAAATTATTGCTTGTAATTAATTTGCCTAAAATAAAATATCATAAATTAATATTAATAAATAAAATAAAAAAGATTAAAAAAAAAATATAGACGAACTTAACATGTGAATTCCACTGGTGCTCTGAACGGAATTCGTTTTGACACCTGCTGTGTTGTGTGTCCGTACCGAAACACACTAGTCCTCCCTCAGTCTCTGTCCTTGCCTGCAGCGCCACAGTTACAGTCCTCTTCATGCTCGATTCTTCAATGTCAATGCCCACTCCTCTCCTCTGTCGTCACCACGCTTCGCCAACTCGCTCATCAGTGTGCGTTTTTATTTGACTCAATGCGCTTCTCTGTTCATTCTTCACTTCACCAATATGATATTATTAATTAATCAATCACGATTCATGCATATTACATTCTTCGCCTGTGATTCGCCGTGTAAAAACATTCCAAAAAAGGTGTTATACTAATTAATAAAACAAAACGCGCCACGTGTAGTAATTATTGAACACCAGAGGATCACCACATTGATTATTTATTAGTCTCTGGAATCTGATCGATTTGAATTTGTGGAAGGATCAGGTGTTTTGGATTGGAGATTGGAGATGGCGGAAGTGATTCACTTATGGTCTGCTCCATGCTCCCTCGGTACCGCTCTCATGTATTCTTTCGCTCAGGTATGCATATCACAATCATCACTGTTTGAATGCCATTCCGTTTTCTTTCATGCATTCATTCATTTGTGTTATTTAACCTCAACCTAACTTAGAGGGATGACGTTGAAGTGCTTGATGAGCCCCTCTATGCTAATTTCCTTCGACTCACTGCTGTTCATAGACCCTACAGGGACCAACTACTCTCCAAAATGGTATCTCTCATCTGAACTACTCTATGCTATATCCGTTCCTCAATGCTTACTTTTGTTCTTGTTTCAACTCTAACAGGAGTCTGATGGAAATAAGGTCGTCAAGGACATTATTTATGGTCCAGGAAGCAAGAAGTATAGATTATGCAAGGTGAATATGATTGTGTGAATTTGTTTGATTAAAGAGGAATCTCTACTTGTGGCTATGATGATCTCTAACTAATGTTATTTATCGTTACTGCACTCTATTCAGCATATGTCGAAACAGAGGCTACCGGGTTTGACGGATGATCTAATGAAGAAAGGAAAGCACTTCATTCTGACAAGAAATCCTCTTGACGTATTGGTGAGTTGTTTTCATTTTTATGAACAAGAAAGAGCAAGAGGTATTTTCTTGTTTATCTCTATGTCAGAAGGCCAGTGCTGTACGTACTGTTTATCATATGCTCATGCAAGTCTTCGACTAGACCATATTGTTGGTAGCATACAGTTATACTACTGAATCTGAAAAGATCATGAACTTCATGTTTAAGTATTGCTTTATATCATATGATCAGTTTCCTTAGTCTTGCTATTCGTTGAGTCATTGGCTAATGAATGTTGTTTGTTATATGTTTTTTTTGTACTCCTGCAGTCATCCTTTGACGAGGTTGTCCCTCCCTCTTTTTTTGAGTTGGGTTTGGCAGAGCTAGTTTGTATCTACAATGAACTTAGTGAGATTGGAAAACCACCACCTGTTGTTGATGTTGCAGAACTTCAACAAGATCCTGAGGTATTTGAGCTATTTAAATTTGCTTGTTTCTCATATTACTGAATAAAGTATGAAATAAGGTCATGCTAGGTTGAGTTGAGTGGAATGAGACAAAAGGAAATGGAAATGGGAGTGAGAATAGGCTAAAAGATATATTTGCTTGTCACTATGTGAAGAGAATATCTCTTCCAGTATTCTCATAGGTGAGGCAATGCCCCTTCCCCCCAAAATGGAAGGAATGATGATTCTGTTCCATCCATGGTTATCTCAGTTACTACTGTAGTACACTAGTACTATTTGTATTAATTTTAATTTTAAAACACAAAATTATCCTCTGACATCACCCCTACTACCATCACTGCCACTATCATTGTCAGTACCTTGTAGGCATAATCATCATGGATATTACTGTCGGCAACAACAACAACCAAGCCTTATCATACTACATGGGTATTTTTGTCAAAATCATAAAGATTTGACAAAGCTTTATGTTGACTGTCAACTATTTAACACCATCCTCCTCTTTTATCCAGACTTGGGACTGGCATGATTTTCAACAAATACTGCATAGGCAGAGTTATCATGGGTTTTATATTACCGTGGTAATAAAATTATTTTTAAGCTAAGATAATGATTTTATCAAAATAAACTAAAATAATGCACATCACATCATTTCTTTTTGTACGAGAATTATTGTAATCGAATCTTTTCTGTTTTAGTTTTCCTTTTTCCTTTCTAGTACAGCTAATATAGGGATAGAATGGAAAACTTCTATTGTTTTAAAAGTAATTCCAGTGAGTCAAATGTCACCTAATTTCATGTTTCCATTGATATTCATTTAGAATTGTCTGATTTTGATACTAGTATCACTAATTAAATTTACTGTCAATGTTGAGTCACAGAAAAGTTTCGAATTACTACCACCATGAACAATGATTTTAAATAGCTAACACCTTAAATTAATGGCTATGCGATTTGAATACCGTGGTTCTATCAGAGATTTATTAATACTGTTATCTGTTAGTTGCTCTCTAGGACGTTGTTTGACTATGAATCTCGGAGTCAAAATATTAGACATGGAAGCTTTTGTCCTAAAAGATATGATAACATGTTTAGAGAGTACAATTTGAAAACTCACCTACACAGTCAATGAAACTTTATCAAAGGATATCACCTTGTTCTTTTAACATGCTTTCAAAATATTTTTTACTTCTTTTGTATAAATTTCTGTTAAGATTTACGTTTGCCTTGATGCATCACACGGCTAGTTACACTTATACACAAACCTCAATTCTATTTTTTAATTTCACATTAATTTATGATCTTGCTAATTTGCAGGCTACTTTAAGGGCTCTTTGCAATGATTTGGAGATTCCTTTTCAACCTGCAATGCTCAAGTATGCAGAGTTTTCATTTTACAAGCCCAGGCTTTCTGCTGCTTTTTTTTCTTCTTGTCTTTCTTTTGCAATGTTTTCTTGCTTATCTACTGAGTTGGATTTTTGGGAGACATTCAATAATTGAGTTTTTTCTAAAAAACACCCCTTAAGTTACAAATATGGTGTATATTGAAACCATACTCCTGCAACAAGTTTTATGGACACACACATGAGAAGTGACAACTCAAATTTTGAATTTTCCAGTTGGGAAGCAGGTCCTAAACCAATAGATGGCTTATGGGCCCCTTGGTGGTATAAAACTGCACACAAATCTTCTGGTTTTGAGGCAGAAAGGAAGTATCCTCAGGTATTTCGTGCCTTCAGTTTAGTTCCTATTGCAAGGAGTCCATGCCATTATTTCATTTGTATTTTTTCATTGTTTGCACCATTGTCTATAACTAGTGTAGTTCTATCTCATCTCAATTGGATACAAGCTTGACATTTTATAGCTATTTCTATGCCTTCTTTCATTACAATATTTCTATTCCCTTTTTTTAGCCATTTCCCTTTTCTCTCTATGACTTGTTGGAGCAAAGTCTACCCTTGTACAATATGCTTCAGCGCCATGTGAAGAAGAAGCCATCCCTTCTGGAACCTCCCTTACCTACACCCGATCTTCCAGTTCCTGAAAATGAGAAATTGCTTGCCTGGGTTGGTGATGAGATTGTACCACGTGAGAGTGCAAAGGTACTAAATGTACAACATTTCAAGGGTTCCCATGTGTAGAATAAGGCATCTGATTAATGTTATTGATGCTCATAATTTCGTAGTTTTTAATTGCTACTCTTTGATGTATCAGGTTTCTGTGTTTGATTCAGTTGTCCAAGGAGGTGACTCTGTTTGGGAGGGTCTTCGAGTGTATAATGGAAAGATATTTAAACTTGAGGAACATTTAGACAGGTAGCAGTGCAAACTTGGGCAGTAGGAAGCTGATGCCTAATGCTGTCATGTCAATTTATTGAGCATTATTCAACCCAACTAAATAGTTAAATTATTAAAAAAAAAAGATAAAATTACAATAAAAATTTCTAAATATAAAGCAAAACTCTTGTTTGTATTTTCAACAAGCCCCGACATATGAGTGTGGATGTTTTTTGGTTATCTATTTGATTTTGTCTCTTATCAGGTCAACTGAACTTGTAGGTCAGTCATGTATTCTAGACTAAATAATATGACTTTGTGAGTAAGAACATAAGGTCTCTATCAATGTGGTTGATCCCTAACATTACTTGCTTCTTGTCAGGATGTATGATTCAGCAAAAGCTTTGGCTTTCGAAAATGTTCCGACTCAAGATAAGGCGAGTCTGAAGAAGCCTTCTGTTCTTTTGTCATGTATCACTCACAATATCTGCTGCTTGTTTTTCATATCCAAATAGGCTCTGATAATACTGGAGCACCAAAATGCTTATTTTGTGGTTGGTTTTGTTTAGTTCTTTCATAGCAATGAATGTATTTGTTTCAAATTGCAGATTAAGGAAGCCATTTTCAAAACTCTGATTAGGAATGGAATGTTTGACAATTCTCACATCCGACTTTCTCTAACACGAGGAAAGAAGGTTTTAATCTCTCTCTGTTTCATCAATTTCAGTTATGCAATTTTTTTAATGCTTAAAATTCAAAAGTCTATTTTATCCATCATTGACTTGGAAACAGCCAGCATGACATGGTTGGGGCTGCCAGGTTTTTAGCATAGCCAATATGCACAGAATACACCTCTGAACAGGTTTCTTATTTTTATAGTTTTTATTAATTGACATGAAAACTTAATATGATTAGAAGATACAAAAAGGTCCATTAGAAAACCTATAAGATAATAATCTGGGTGTTATTGGTTAATAAGGCAATGAGAGTACGAGACTTTAATGCTGTGCAACTGAGAAAGCTTTTTCTGCCAGTGTGGCTTATCAATGAACCCATTGTAAATATGCAATACAGTGAATGATAACCTATTTTCATGAATAGTGAATATATTTTAAACCATTTGCAACCATAGTTATTAAACCATCAATTATTCGTAATTCTATGGAGCAAACTGTCTTTTTACTGATGTAAAAAATTATTTTCTTCTCTAGGTTACTTCTGGGATGAGCCCAGCATTAAATCTATATGGATGCACGTTAATTGGTAACTTCCTATCCTTTCACTAAATAACAACGATGCCAGTACCTAACCTAGAAAGGATTCTGAGCTTTTTAGAAACATAACAAAAGTAGAGAAATAAAAGGAAAAACAAAAGATACTTTGGTAGTGCTTTTTTGAATTACAAACCAAGAAATTAAGAGAGATGTTTTCCTCCAAGGATTTTCTTTTTTACAATGGAGCACTTGCTTGGTTCTTTCAATTTCCCTCCATGATCCACCTACCCTTGTTTATCTAATCCCCCTTCCCTCTTATCTATTTTTCTAACTAATACCCTGTAACATCTGAGCTTTTCTAACTATCTAATCTATCTACTTCCTCTTCCCTTTATTCTTCTGCGCAACTGCTCTTCTGTTCTAACAATATCAATGTAGCATTTTTGGATTGATCTAACAGGATTTGTTTCAGGGTTTCCATTTTTTTATGGGAACGTTATTTGTGATCTTGGATCTATCATACAAAGGGATGGAGAAATGTAGAGATTAATTATAGTAGGATCCAAGCTAGGTGGACGAAATGGAGGAATGATTCACATGTTATTTGTGACTGAAAGGGCATCTCAAGCTAAAGGGAAAATTTCACTGCAGACACAAAATTACTGATGTTTTTATGGAACAGAATGCTACATGGCAAAGTACTAACAAGAGTGTATGTCTTGTAAAGATGAGAATGTCAAACCATATCAAGTCTCCAAGAAACGGCATTGATATTTGATAATGGCTTCAATCATGGAAAACTCTGAGAAATAACTATAGTTCAATTTTTGGTTCCAAAACAGTTATCTGTCACAACACTTTATTCATCTGACTTGACATAATTAATCATCTAGTTTATAAGGCGGCATAGGTTAAAAGTCAGGCACTTTTAGGGATTTTTGTTGTTATATGAGATGGTTAATCGAGGTTTCTAACAGATTTGGCTTGCTAATTAGTGCAACAAGTTAAGCTTTAAATTTTTGAACCTATTTATTGTAGAACCATTTTGGTTATGGAAGAATGCCTCAGTTGTTTGTAGAGCTTTGGTAGACATTGTTTTCACTTGAATTTATTTTTCATGTGCAAGTTACCCCAACTATTTCATGATTCAACATTTTGCTTTTGAAATGGATAGGCAATATTTTAATTGGTCTTTCTTAACATATGCAGTGCTTGCTGAATGGAAGCCCCCTGTTTATGATAATGAACGTGGTATAGTTCTTGTAACTGCTACAACACGCCGTAATTCACCAAATGTGAGTTTCTTGATAGTATACTTGTAAGTTGAAAAGAATCAAAGGATAAACTTCTCAACAGAAAAAGAAAAAAAAATGAATTAAAATTCTCTCATATGTTAAAATAAACTTATATACCTTAAATTTTGAAGAAGCTTTCTCATCTAGCTTTTTCCTTAAATTGAGGATTAAGTTGATTTTAACTTTTGGGGGAAATTTGATTCATTTTATGTTCTTCTCTTTTTAAGTGTTTATTGAAAAATTTATCCAAATTGACTCAATTACATTTTATTTTAATTGTTTTTGTTTGAATTACTGGTGAACTTGTTGCCTCATCAAACAATAGTTAACGCCCAAACTTTCTTGATTATATCACCTTGGCAATAATGAGATAGAAATTGGTATCCATACTGGAGCCGGGGAGCGATAGCTTTATAGGAACAAGTGTAGAGCAGTGCTCTTATTGCAGATACAAAATAGAGAAAATAGTAAAGACAGCTAATCATCCTTGATTCCCCTCAGATTTGATACCCCATCAATCCAGCTACCTGCCACCTGTCCCTTCTATTAGACTTCTCCAAATCCATTTTTCCTTCTCTAGTGAACATGAAATGGAAGCCCATGATTTAGGGGCCCATCGTAATGTCACTGTTTAAGGACTAGTTTGTGGACATGGATATGTAAAGGGAAAAGAAAGGTGTTCATTGTATAAGTAGAGCAAAGTTATAATGTTCAGAGTTAAAATTATTGATGTGTTTGGTTTCACAATGGGAAGTATCATAATTGATTTTGCCTCCTTGTCAAACATGATTTTAGTAAAAATATAGATGTTTGGTTATTTTTAGGTAAAATTGATTTTGCATCCAAACCTCAATTTGATTAGAAGTGGTAAGAAATAGCTTGTGTTTGGTTGAAAAATTTACAGGGATTTTTACAGCAAATTATTTTCAGGGTAAAAACATCCGAACATAAATTACTTCACTTAAAAATCAATTTTAACTAATATCAATTTTATGAAATCAGTTTCATTCAAAATCAATTTTGCAAACATTCATGCAAACACTCAAACCTGCCAGTCAGTATCACTAACTATTTGTGATCGAACATCAAACACCTTTGTGATCTCAGTTATTATTTTCACTTATTTCCTTCCAAAAAGTTTATCTATAATCATAGGATTATGGAGATAGAGAGAAAAAAAGAATGGGAGAGAGAGAGAGAGTAGTGCATTGTCATTATGTTAATGTATCCATACAGATAAGTATGAATCAACAGTTTTATCACCAAATATATTGTCCCTTTCCAAATATTAGCCACCAGAAAGAGAAAAATAAAAATAAAGTATATTATGCTATTTTGTGGGAGAATTTCTTTTGATTACTACGGGAACATTTCATGTTCCTTCCTTCAACATACCAATCTATATTATTACAGATATTGTGAATATATTACAGATATTGTGGATACATATATTATGGCTATTATCCTCACTATCAATTAGGGATATGATTAGATTAGTTTCCATAATATTAGAGATTAGTATCTCTATCATTTATTGTATTCACTCTATAAATAAGATTAGTATGTGTACAACAATACACACAATTCCTGAATCACAACATGGTATCAGAGCTTAGGTTCTTCTTTTAGAATATATTTTTCTCTCTTCTTGCAAAGGCCCTTGCTGCCACCTCCAGCTGCCGCCGGCGGCCGCGCC